GTTCAATCCCTGTCCTTACATTCGTTGAACTCGAGGAGTCATTCGTTTAATTACGGTGACACGAAAGTGAAAAGAAAAGCCACCAAGTCTGTTAGCGTGATGGTGGACGATTTAGTGAGGACGACGGTGAAGAGTACCGACACTTCCGGTTTAGCGCCTAAGAAACGGGAATTTGGTACGTCGCCGATAAAAAAGAAATTTACCGACGTCTCGGTTGGCGAGTCGATCAAACCGCATATTTCCATCTCATGCGCCGCCAACTATTGCGATAATTGTAAGGAAACCATAAAAAGTTTGGCAAAGCAATTCGTCAATAACGCGGAGAATAATATGAATCATCAAAACACGAATCTCGTCTCGAGGATACCTAGACCGTCCCACATATCGTTGAACAACACGATTGATTATAGAAGACAATTCAAACGACAGGATACGTACACGAAGATACCGGCCGCGGGTGTAATCAGATACGATTCCGATAACAAGGAACAGTATGACAACAATAATCGGTTAGTTAATTTATTTGAATATAATATATTCTGTCATCTTTTATCAAAATCATTTATACCCTTCTCAATGAAATATAACAAAAAAACGATCTTATTTAATCACTTAAAATTGAATTATATATATGAATTATAAACCATTAAAATAAATAACGTTTATAAAATTAAGATTTATTTTAAAAAAAAATTATTGCATAGGATCATTCATCTCTGCTCTGTCTATTCATCACAATATAGTACTATACACAATATAGAAGATGTTAATTACGCCATCTATCGGGTGGAGAATTTAAGCGGAGGGTAAAAAAGATAGCAAAGACATCATGATGAATCAATCTACCGCGTAGTCGATGACAATCAAGCGCATGTCAAGGATTTGTTGGTTTTTTCGATTCCATGGTTGCGCGTCCTATGCGTCATAAGTGTTTTTACGGAGCAGAGCGCAGAGATCAAATTGTAAGTAACGTTTCAGAGGTCAGTGACAGAGAAAGTATATTTAAAATCGTCGCGAATTCGCTATGTGAATAAGTGAATCGTGTATTCGATCTAGATAAATCCATGCTGCAACAGCAGCAACAACAACACGCTACCCGTTTAATTAACGATACCGAACTCATCGAAATAAATTCTGCTTGTTTCGTTGAGAAGGGGTAATTGATTTCTTGAATCATTTTATTTTATTTTATTTTATTTTATCTCTTTCGTATAGAGAGATTTAAAACGCATTTGTACTTTTTTAAATTTATGCTTTTTTATATTTTTTGTAGTATCCAGCAGTTACAAGGGGAAAAAGGAAAAGATGAAAAGTCAGAGGAAATTTATAATACGGAAAAACAAACAGATGATGAAGAAAAACATGAACTTCCAGAATCTGCTTTATTTCAACCTATACAAGAAAAACCCAGAAAAAAAATTGAACCTTCGAAAGAGATGCAAGCCGCCATGAAAGTTCTTAATGATAGTCTTAAGAAATCTCCTAGCAAAAATATCTCTCATCAAATGAAAAATGCAATTAATATTATTCAACAAGAATGGTTCAAAATTTCAAGCACAGTGAATGCCAATCCTTTAGAAGTAGAAGATTACCTTGATTGTTTTGAAGAATGTTCAAGTTCTTTATTGGAGTATATAGTTAACATGACTGACTCAAGTGGAAACACTGCGATGCATTATGCAGTTTCTCATGGAAATTTTGATGTAGTGTCTATTCTTCTTGATTCAAAAGTTTGCGATATTAATAAAGCAAATGTAGCTGGATATACGGCTGTGATGTTGGCAGCTCTTGCTGAAGTCAGAAATTCCACTCATGCTTCAGTGGCTAATAAATTATTTCAGCTTGCAGATGTTAATATTCGAGCAAAATTAGTAAGTATTTTATGTAATTATAATGTTTTTATATTAATTTTTTATATTTTATTTAAAATTTTTAGCATGGTCAAACTGCCTTGATGTTGGCAGTATCTCATGGTCGAAAAGATATGACTCAATTACTTCTGGATGCTGGAGCAGCAGTTAACATTCAAGATGAAGATGGTAGTACAGCCTTAATGTGTGCCGCGGAACACGGACATACAGACATTGTACGATTATTACTTGCGCATCCAGATTGTGATCCATCGATCGTTGATATAGATGGTAGTTCCGCTCTAAAAATAGCTTTAGAAGCGGGCAATCGAGATATTGGTGTATTACTTTATGCCCATGAACGCGTAAATAGAGGAACAAGTCCATATTCGTCAATGAGACGAAATAGAAGAGGTTCCAAACCAACAACGCCTACTGGACCTTCTCCTTCAGCTCCAGTAAGCCCAGCTCCATCTCGAAGAATTCATTCATCAACAGTTTCTCTAAATTCTTCAAAATATTCTGCTAAATAATTCTCAATATTTGAAGACTTTTTTTTTATCGATATTTAACATACTAGCAAATAGTTTGAATTATAATCGCATTATACGAATAAGCAATAATGCAATCGGCGTTCCGTGTTTCCTATATTTATTGCTAACATGTTTTAGTATTTATCATCGATTTACAATATTTTAAGGTGTTAATTTTTTAAGATAAACAATCATGTTCTTGCCTAATCATTCATCAGCCTCAATTCAAGCATTTAATTTAAGATATCTATTTAACTGCTCAAATTTGTATACAATTATTCAAAAAAAGTTTGAGAGTGCTGTTTTGTAAAGTTAGTCCATAGGAAGGATATATGTGAAACGTATTTCACATTGTTAGTTAATAGGAAGGATTTGTATAAAGTTTAAAACTTTTTTCTAGGTGCTATCAAAATAAAAATAAATCCATTTTCATTGTTAATAAATTTTATACGATGTCACAAACGAATAAGAAACGTCAGTGACCAATGGTTCAAAATTTTATTCTTAAATTTAAAAAACCATATGAAAGTACAAAAAGTTTCTTATATATAAAAACGAGTCACAGTGAAAAAAATCTAATAATGTCTTCCAACATCCTGTGACATTAAACATTCCAAAAAACAAATTGTCAACAATCCGAATTTCTTGTCACAGAAAGTTTTCTTATACTCATAATATTCGAGAGTCAGGCCTAATTTTCGTTTAATCCTCGGGATCAAACTATCAATAGAATAATTGTGTACTGAGACAATGTAGAGAACAATACAATATGTGTAATAACTATATGGTGCACAAACGTGAGATTTATAATTCTCATGACTAATGTTGAATTTACATATGAAGAAATTTGTAAAAACCTATCGATGATCGTTCAATGTTGAAATAAATATGTTATAAATGTGAAAAATATAAATATAGCATCTATGAACAACAACAAAATATTGAAGGGCATACGAAGGAAATTTAGTTGAATAGTTGTTAATTGAAATTATTTCACGGTACGATATATATATATGTATATATATCATACGAAACAAAATATAAAAATATAATTTTATTTCATATCTCGTTTATCCGTTGTATCTTCATGTTGTAGGAATTGGATATTTAAAATAATCTTAACGTTGAACATTTTCTTACATAGGTTGTGAATATTTAGAAATAATAAACGTATTTAAGTTCAACATCAAAGATTTATATTTTAATGAGTATTCCTATCGTTAAGGACTTATATTAACATTAAGTGACAATTACGTATCAAAGATAGTACTGAATTAAGTAATAGACATCTAGGAATTTAGAAAGTAGATAACTACTTTTCATTGTTTGTGCCTTTATATTTAACATATTGTAATTGATAATAAACTCAAAAAGAAATAACATAAAACTATTGTATAATATTATAATTTACCAAAAATTAATATAAACAATACATATAAATCAATGGAATTTATGTTACAAACTTATATAAAACCATTAATCTTCATTAATATATGTACAAACAATAATGACAAATAAACTTATGACTCTTGTAAAATTTAATGTTTCATAATTGAAATATATTATCCATAAAATTTAATAAATTTAAAAAAGATCAATAACAAATAACAAAGTTTATTTACTTTGTACAAATATACAAAGGAGATACATTATTTTTCATTTTGTTAAATTTTTATTTATATATATTTATAATTTATATTAATTGTATTTGTAGATTATATTTTCATAAATAAAATTATATTTTTTCAAATATTTAAAAATCATTTATATATGAAATTATTATACATTAAATATTGTGCATATAATATCTATATTTTTTATATAAAAAAATATCATAGTTTTGAAAGAAAAATGATAAAAATATATTCAATTTACATCTATACTTCATGTACTTATTCCTTTAACAATAAGTATGAACAAAAAAAGCAAATGATAGAAGAAAGACAGAAATAGGATAAAAATTATAAAAATATCAGCATCATCTCTTATCTTAAACGAAACGCACAAAAAGAACAAAAAAAAGAAATAGAAAATAAAATTAATCAACAGTGTTATTTCCTGAATATTTATCTTTTCAAAGACAAAATAAACTAAAATAAGAATTAAAGATTAGTGCCATCTTTTGAGCATTATAATATCTTTCTAAAAATAACATATCTTTAACATTTAAGAATTGACGATTAATTCTTGCTTTATTTCTGTTTTTTTTCTATTTTTACTTTCTTTGAGTTTCATTTATAACATTTTGGAGATGGTGCTGATTCTCTAATTTTTATATCATCTGTATCCCATTGTTTCTTTTCCTTATCTATATTATATCTATTTTATAATTACTCTCAATGATTGATATTTCAAAACTTAAAATATCATTAAATATTAGATCTCTCCTATATTTCGCCTATTGCTTTATGTCTATTATATTCAGAAAATTAATATTTCGATAATTTTTTAGAATTTTGAAATTCAAATTAAAATTTTCAATACAAATTGAAAGTTGGCAATACTGATTACACATCATAACATGACGTTGACATGTATCACTGCTTGTAACATATACCTAACGTGTGTTATTTGATTGCTTCGTTGACAGTTCTTTTTGCATGGTTTGTAAAAATGTTTTCATGTAATCAACATGTATGAAAACATTTTATTAAATTAATTTATATTAATTTTGTGAATACAATATAATTATAACAAGCTGTTTATTAAAATATTACGTGCAACATACCATCTTAAAATTCAAACTATGAGTGAAATTAAAATATTTTTTTATTTTTAAAAATCATGTTTACATATTTCTTTATTTTATTGAATTTTTTGAATATAGTAAAACATTATAGAAATTATTAAAAGATAAACGATAAATATTTCAAAAATATTAAATAATATATATAACTAAAATTGCTTGTTCAACTTATATTTCATTTTACTAATATTTCATGGCACTTTTATTGTGTAGATCTACTGTAATCTTTGTTAAAAATATCTTAATTAACCGCCAAAATTGAGAATAAAATGCGAAGAAGTCATACAAGTAGGTTAACTATTGTTTAAAATTTAAAATGAAATTTAATTATTATAGTTTTTAATATGACTTAATATTTTATAATAGATTATTCCTATGAACCTTTACCAACTACATCAAGCCATGATGGCTTGGAAGATGAAAATGAAAGAATGACAGAACATTTAAAGGATAAAATTTATGCTTTAAAATCTTTGTCAATTGATATTGGACAAGAAGTACAATATCAAGATAAATTACTTCGTGGAATGGTGAATAATTCATTAATATAGATCAAATTATATTAAATTTATGTTAAAGTAAAAAATATATAAAAATTTTTGTTATCAGGATGAAGATTTTGAAAGAACAAGTGGTTCGTTAACAAATTCAGTTGCACGTGTATTGCGTTTATCCAAAGGAAGCCATACTTATTATATTTTGTATTTAATATTGTTCTCTGTAGTTGTTTTTTTTATATTATGGGTAACATTGAAATTTTTTTAATTAAAATATTTTTACACAAAAAAAGAATATTGAAACAAGAATTCATTCCTATAAAAAATGTATTTTTTTTTTTGCACTCATAATGATAATTTTCAAATATAATATTCAATATATGTATATAAAAGATAATATTTTTAACCTATTTAAACTGTACAGTTAAAACTTGTCGAATTTTATGTAAAAATTATACTACTATTACACTATTTGTAAGAATAAAAAAAATATATATATTTTATATTAAAGCAATGTGCATGTATAGATATATTTAATATATTTAATATATACATATATTTTAATTACTGTAAAATAAAAGTGTTTATATGTAAATACATCTTTGGAATTTTCCGCGTTATAACGTTTAAAAGTTGGCGGCATTGAATCGCAGAGTTAACCTATTATAATATGGTAGAAGAATCACGCGTACAGTGATTCAATGATATCAATGATATATCAATGATATATAATTAATGTTTTTATGTGAATTGAATTAGATTATATATCTTTTAAAATGAAACTAAAAAATTTACGAATAAATCCTTTGAATCGAATTCAAAAAGAAAGAAAAGAAGAAGAACCAAGCACTTCAGAAAATAAAACGTCGAAGGTTATTTTACCATCGGACAGCAATTTTAATCATATAAAGTGCAAAGCAGTACGATATAAAAAATGCCAACAATTAATGAAAGAAAAAATAAAGGCCAAAAAAGAAGCCAAAAAAAAAAGAATTCAAGAAGGAGGTCCAAAACAAATTCCACATACCATTGAAAGCTTAAGAGAGAAAGATGAAACTATTGTCACTGGTAATCTTGAAGATGAAGAAAATGCTGAACTTAAAGTTGATTTTGAACATGATGAATTTGCTGCTTATTATAAGCATACTTATGATCCTAAAGTTTTGATTACATATTGTGATAATCCAACAAGAAAAACTAGAATTTTTGGTGTAGAACTTACAAGGATAATACCAAATTCAATTTCTTTATATAGAAATCGTTCTGGAGTGAAGAAAATGGTTAAAAGTGCTATTGCAAGAAATTTTACAGATATTATAATTATTAATGAGGATCAATGTAAACCTAGTATCCTTTAAATATTTATAATAATTAATTTTAGAAAAATTTTTTATATTTATTATTTTTTATATTATTTTTTATATTATTTATTATTTTCCTTATAAGTTTTCTCAGATGGTATGTTAATTATTCATTTGCCTGATGGGCCAACAGCACATTTTAAGCTTAGCAATGTTAAAATAACTCCGGAATTAAAACGTAGTCATAAAGAAATTTCTAAACATAGACCAGAAGTTATTTTAACTAATTTCACAACTCGCTTGGGTTGTACTATTGGTAGAATGTTAGGAGCACTATTTCATTATCAACCTGAATTTAAAGGCAGTAGAGTTGTAACATTTCATAATCAACGAGATTATATATTCTTCAGACATCATAAGTATGATTACTTTAATAATGTGTTTAATAAAGAATAATTTCTAAAAAAATAAAATAAGAAAAATAAGAAAGAATAAATAACATTACAGGTACCAATTTGATCTTGAAACAGCTAAACCTAGATTAAGAGAGTTAGGACCTAGATTTACTTTAAGATTAAAATCTCTACAACAAGGAACATTTGACAGTAAACATGGAGAATATGAATGGCTTATTCAAGGAAAAAGACATGATATGGAAACTAGTAGAAGAAAATTCTTTTTATAAATTTAATATAAATGATTTTAATAGGCATGTTTTATACTTATTACATTTTGTATTTAATATTACCTCGAATAAACAACGTGAAGTTGTTATAAGAAATATAGAAATTTCTATTTATTATTTCTATTATTATTATTATTTCTATTTATTAAGCTCTTATAAAATATAAATTTATAAGATATTATAAATAAGATATTAATATAATAAAGATATTAAAATTAATTTTATAACAAATATTAACGCGAGGTCTATAATTTATTTCTTTTTGTATGTCATATTTTTAACAGATTTTGGTTTAAATTGTTCATAAGGTATATTTGTTCGTTTTAAAACATAAACTGCTGCTTGAAGACCACCTATATTTATACCTAAAGTTTTTGTCACATAAAACAAATCTCCAGCTGCTTGTAAAGCCTATAAAAAATGAACATATTAATCAAAATTTAAAAAAAATTTGATATAAAAATTTTAATAACATACCATATTGAAACTACGTCTATCATAAGTAAGTAAAACAATCCGACCTGTTAGAAGTTTTATAATTCGTCCTAATTCTATTAAAAATTGTTTATAAAGTATTCTATTATCCATTATTCGACCACTTCTTTTTCCAAATGGCTAGAAGAATTATTTAAGAAATTAAATGAAAAATTTAATATACAATAAGAATATATTTAAATATTTGATTACCATATCGGTAACAGCAATATCGATAAAGGAATCTTTAAATGGTAATTGTGATACATTCCAATGTATTAAATCAATCTTACATTTAGAAGAAGATGCTTCAATGTTAGATTTTGTTCTATGTACAGCTTTGGGATGATTATCTCCACCAATAACATATGATTTAAAATACACTAAAGTTGCCTAAAATTTTTAATATTAATCTTTTGTTATATTAAATATTAAATTTGAAATAAAAATATTGATGTTACTTCAATTGGAATAGAACCACTACCACACATTGGATCAATTATTATATCTCCTGGCTTTGGATGAGCTAATCTTAACAAATTATAACATATTGTTGCTCTAAGGGTAGTTGGTCCAAAACACATGATATTCCTATGGTGTTTAGATTCATGTGTAACACGTAATTGTGTTACCAATTCATCTATATTATATAATATATATATTTTTTTTTATATTATAATATTTATATAATATTTACATATAAATTTATATTTTACTTACTATTGATTAATTTACAGACTATTTCTAAATAATATGTAGATAAATCTACAAGCCATAAATATTTATCTTGCAATTCTCCACCTATAGTTCTAGCAACATCTGATGATTCAAATATATGTTTGCCAGTTCTTTCACATGTTACTCTATATCTTAATATTTCATCTTCTTTAGCATTAGATGGATTTTGACCTCTTTTCTTTCCCTTAGGTGTAGTAGGTGCAACAGTTGTGTTACAGAGTTTACGATCTTTTTCTGCTAGATTATATTCATCAATAGTTGGATATATTTTTCCTTGAAAACCAGTAATATGTTTCCAAATATCTAGAGTCTTTTCTAATTTCATGTTATTATGCACAGCATTTTTAAATAATTGTAAATCCATTTCTTTACTATTTCCTGAGAATTCAAATTTGCTAACATCTGCGACAATAAACATATTATCTATTGATCTCATTTCTTGTATCTGGAATTATAGTTTGAATAAAATAATATTATTCACGTTTATTTGATATAGTAAAATATTTTTCAAATATTGTTGCAAATATTGTTAATTTTTATGTCAAAAAACATGATCAAAACAAATAAAAAACAATACTACTTGTACAAATTGATTCCAATATATATTGAAATAAATTTTGCCGCGTTCTTTGACAACTTTAACATTTTTATCCAATTTCTCTTTGCATTCGTCTATTGCTTGCCATTCAAAACCTAAAATTATATCATTTTATAGGTTACACTAAACAACCACGTGTTTTCGATTCTCATTAATTAAAAAATTTTTAATTACCTGTATCTACGGTCGTTGCTATCATAAAAACATTATCATTTAATGATGATTCTAGGAAAAGCTTTCGTAAACTTGATTCGTTATCTACATTCATGTCAAATTTGGTATATGTAAATTATCCTTATATACTATAAAATACACATAATAATACACATGATTAACATCAAACCAGCATCACGTGTTTGATTAATCAAATAAATTAAATTTTATTATAAATCTGTAATATCAATTACGAATCAAATTAAATTATATTCTATTTGCTTTTTATATGATTTTGACTTGATTTATATTTTCATTATATGAAATTTAAATATAAAATTAAATAGTTATACTTTCATTTACAAGCATAGTTAAAAAATATTAACAATAAGAAATTCTTCAACAATGCGAAAATTTTTATGCGATTTTAATCCACAAGTGAAAGGTAGTAAAAATCGCGCGGATGCGAAGTCCGTTTTTGTGCAAAATAAAGAATACCTCTTTGAAGCTCATGAACTCCTAATACAAGATGTCAATTTTGTTGAACAGTTTACAAAATTTCTAACTTTTACGAAATGTAACAACAAATATTTATCAAATATATTGTATGATATAAAAAATGCTATATATACAGGGTGTTTATAAAAATGTGGGATACCTTTGTAGAGTGAATTCTAGACATCAAAACGAAAAAAGTTCATATACACATATGTTCGATAACGCTTAATTAACGAATTATAAGCATTTTAAGTTTGTATTAGATAGAATGAGATAACGAAAGAACAAGAACTCAGCTGAGTGTGCAGCAATACTGTATTGCAATGTCACTTATGTAGTAGAGCTCCTCAATGAAAGTAAACATATTGTAATAAATTTTGGGAAAGATGAATATCAATTAATTATAAATATATAATAATATATAATAATAATAATAATTATTATTATTATTATATTAATAAATTAAAAAAAGAGATATATAATTTTAAAAAAATCCTTTTAAATTTAGAATTTTTATTTTTATGAGTATAAAATAATTATCATCAAAAATATAAATGATATTTAAACTTTATTATAAATAAAATAATATAGTATATTTTATATATTTTAGTATAAATAAATAGTATATTTTATTATTATTATATATATATGATTAACAGCTTATATATAATTAATTATAATATATATATGATATCAATATGTTGATGTTTTTTCATTTTTTGCGATTATATATATTTAATATAAAATATAGTGATGCAATTTATTATTGCAGTGAGATAAGATAAAAACATATGTGAAAATATTTTTTATTTTTAAATTACTTATGTATTTTTTTAATGCTGTTTTTACTTAGATCATTGTTTTATAATTGAAGAATACAGATAATTTAAAGTTAATATACAATATTTTGTCTTATGCATATGTCTATTC